AGCTACGTATTGCTCTGAGGTTTATACAAAATAAACAAAAAATATACTGAAATTTTGATGCAAAAAATGCAATCTTTGTTGCATCATGGAAATTCTGAGTATTTTAATTTTTATTCAAAAAGTAATTTAGATTATCTCGGTTGGTTTTACGAATTTCCCGTCAGATACGCGCTCTGGGAGGCTTTCGATTGCAAACTTTTTGTTCTCGTATTTCCATTTCGGGCACACATTTCACATATGTACTGAAAATGCGTTCAGGTGTGTGAAATATAGACATTCACCACACAATCGCCTGCTTGTTGTTCTATTTTATTTATTTTTTGTCTCTCGTGCGTATATTGTGTGTCTGGTTTGAAAAATGTACAAATCGTAATGACGTACATTACGATAAGGTTTCTCCGATGGTCTTTTTCGTTTGATTTACTCACATACACATAGCGTCCAGCGCGAAACCACATTTGTACACGCTCGGCGTAATTTTCTTTGTTCGGGCAAAACAAAGTACTCGCAGGGCTGTTATTTTATACCCGACCTGTGCGAAACCCTGTCAGTCGGACAGAAGGCCAAAGGATAATGAACGGTGTACGAAAAGAAAGCGCACCAGCCAACAAAAATAACCGAAATAAAAACGGGAAAGAATCACTCGTCGTGCGCTTTGCAAAGAGCTTTTCTAAACAAAAACATTAGCTTTATATCGACGAATGCAATGTTTTTATTTTATATTTTTTTATTTTTTAAAAATGCAACATTTTATCTAATTTAAAATATTTTATTTCAGGTATCGTGGATAAGAAAGCACGATTACCACTTATTAACAGTTGGATTGACGACGTACAGCGCCGACGACAGATTCATGGTCGAACACGTCAGGCATTTGCAGAATTGGGGTCTCCTGATAAAGCACGTTCAATTCTCGGACGCCGGTCTTTACGAGTGCCAAGTCTCCACACATCCCCCGACGAGCATCTTCCTCGAGCTCAAAGTCACAGGTATTTAACGACACAGCCACACTCACTCGTTCCCTGGCTGTCACCACGTTTTCTCGTTTAGCACACATACACCTAAACACATATAGATTCGGTCTGAAAGTATGCCTGCAGCGCTCGAAAACACATTGTCGAAAAAAGCTACTCAGACCTGAAAACAAAACGTCCACGGCAATGAAGTTAGTCGAGAGGAATCGGCAGCGAAAAAGACCGGAAAGAAATTAAAGACAGCGCAAACGTAAAACTCCTTGCCGAAGCAAAACAAACTAATTTACTTCCAACCACATATGTTGGTTGAGTTTTTGTTTTAGGCTTCCAAATATCACATATACAAAGTGTTGTGGAAAGACAACAAAATGTTACTATTTCTATATTTGGAAATCTTGCATTTTCAGCAAAGTTTTGTTCCGGACTGAACGGTGTTGATATTTACCGTGTTCATTACACGTCCGAAATCAATTTACCTCACTCCGGCGTGCATCCGGTGCGCTGCCGAAAGCAATCACCCTCAAAGTGGGACGGCGACTGCGGCTCATAAGTGCCCTGCCACCTCCCATGTTTGTTCGATTTTGGAGTCATGCACGTGGGTGAAATATTGCCCTCTGGGCAATCACTTTTCAGAATGTTCCAATCACAATATAGAAAAGGTCACACACCAAGCAAAAAACGAAAATAGTCCAGAATAAAGGGCGATTAAAAACGTGAACGCTGAGGTTATGTTTTAATATTGTTAAGAAAGTGCATTTGACGCTGTCGGGTACAATTTGCTTCCACATTAAATAGTTGGAAGAGAAAAACATTTAATTTCGCTGCAGCAAGAATCCTAGTTTCATTGCTTGCGGCATTTTAGTCTTTACCACATTGGAGAAGGTTTTTGCACAGCTTCAAAGTCCTTGAGAGACAAACTGTTTTGCCAGATGTTCATTCTTAAAGTAGAAACTTCTTTAGAGCAAAAATTAATTTAAAATATTTAAGTGTTAGGTAATGAATAAAAAGTAAATCCAATACACTTTATGAATTGTTATGTGTGCGTTCGCATTTGATTATACCGGCAACGTTTCAAATTACCCACGTCATCTAAAATTACATTCCATTTATTCGCATTCAACGCATTCGAGTTGGCTGCATGCAGCGAAAGTTTCGTGTGTAATTATATGGCTAGTTTATTGCGTAATTACACTCCAAGCGAGTCGAGAGCTTTCGTTGAAAAGCAACAGACAAGTAATTTTCTTAATTAAAATTGTAATAAAATGCAGCTTGGACTCAGGAGTTCGTCACTGGCCAGATTAGAGAGGATTGTCGTCATCGTGTGTGTGTGTGACTTTTGACGTGGATAAAAGGATAAGCTCACATCAGATGGGCACACATCTTCACAATGACGTATTGTGCTCGGTGCGCGTTTGGTATTACGATATAACACGATATGCGGAGGGTGGTCCAAGGATATATACGCGCGGGTGATGCTTGAATGGATGCGGGAGCAACTCAAAGGAAGTTCTGACAGGCGGCAGCAGTGGAGGGTGCGACCGGCGGTTATGAACTCCATGTCACGACTGTCACTATGTGGTCGACGTAATTAAACGACGACTGCAACTGACACATCGTCTTTACCCATGTTATTTACCCTTTGACCTCTCGAATTCATACCGCGCACTCAAAACATGTTGTGTTTTTATTGTCGAAATAAATTTAACAGTGCGTTGTTGTTGGTATTTCAGAGGCGTCAGCGGAAATTCTAGGAGCGCCTGATTTACACCTGAGAGCTGGTTCGTCGCTGCGTTTGGTGTGCACCCTGCGGCAGTCGACGGAACCGCCATCGTACGTGTTTTGGTATCATGAGCAGCGCATGATTAATTACGATCAGGGCGTGCAGGTGATTGCCGATCGCAGCAGCAGCATTTTACTGCTGCAGGACGCCGACAAAACGCACAACGGCAATTACACCTGCAGTCCTTCGAAAGCCATTCCGGCGTCGATTAATGTACACGTGCTCAACGCAACCGCAGGTAATTTATTTACGTTTTCACAACAAACTATTTAATTTACTGTAAAGCAGAATTAAATCAATATTAAACTAAATGATTTACTGCCACAAAATCAAATTTTCAATAATTAAATGCAATATTAAGCCATTTAAAAGTTTTTTTGAATTCACATAAAGGATTTTAGCATTTTATGCGTATTTTTAGACGCGTAATAATCAAATTGCATGTTGGAATAACAAGTTACGAAAATTTTCGAGAATTCCGCAAAGCAACATCACTTAGCAGGTCAGCAAAGCGTGATAATAGAAAGCGACATTACTCGGTCGAGGGTAAAAAAAAAACAAGGTGATTACAACTCAATTATGTCATAAACGAAAATGTGCAGCAAACTCGATCAATCGACGAAAGCATAAAAGCGTCGCCGTGTCGCACACCATTAACGATCCGCCATTTCCTTGCGACATTAAACTGCAATGACGGTCTTGTTTGATTTTTCGACCTGCATAAATGCAAAATCCGTTTAATTGTTGAATCTGAACTCACATTAAAATAACACTCACTTTTTTTTACATTTTTTATCCTTTAATTCTTTTAATGTTTTTAAGGAAAGGCAATCGACTTGAAAGCTATGAATATTAACGGCTTGAACAAAACGGTGCTAATGAAGACATAAAGTTATCGTGAAGAATTTTAGTGCCGGCAATTAAAAATAATAGTTAACACTATAAACGTGACATTAATTATATCATAGAACATTAAAGAGTGTCGCGAGTGCAAGCGCACGACGTATAATGATTCGTCGTAGCAGCAGTCTGTAGTTAACAAAATCGCGACTATTAAAACGTTCATTATTTCCTTCCAGTAATAATACAGAGAGACGATTATACCTCTTGATGGTATCTTTTTTCTCCTGAGATTTTAACTGCTAGGTTTTAAGGAAATCATTTTTTCTTTGCATAAAATTGCTTAGAAAGACATTAAAACTAGGTTATGATATTTTAAAATGACAGGTTTTACCACGAGCGCCATCTAAACGTATCGGACTGAACTAAAAAATAAATTGATGATTTATTCCTGTATTAATACGAGGATATTTTATCTTTTCTAGAAGAAAAACCAGCTGCAATGCAACATGCCAATACAAGTCCACGATCGACATTCACACCAACAAACTGTCTCCTCTTCAACTTACTGACGCTGATGACCAGCGCACTGATTACATGATGCCATCGTCGTCGTCATCATCATCAGTGCGACGCATAAATGTTTATACTACTCGTGAATGTGATGTATAAAAAAGTGATATATCATTTATATGAATAAAATAAAACAAGAGTTACAAATTATATACATATAGCTATATTTGAAGGCAAGCGAGCGAAAGAAAAATTCCCAAGAATAAAGACTAAAGGACATGACAGCGCAGTGTGAATTCAAAGGATTGTGCGATGTTGAACTCCCGCCGACAAACACGCACTTGTAGCAATTGTAAATAACATGTAAATATCACAGCATTTGAATAAAGAACGAAAGAAACACAGTGTCAGAAGCGGCGTGAACAAAAGAGCGGATACAAGTTGTAAAGTTGAATTATACATAATTTAATTTTAATGTTGATAGTTGAAGGAAAACGAATGCAGGGCAGGACTATTGGGGTTATAATGAGGATCAACATTCGAAGGATATTGTACATAGATAGCTAATTGATAATAAACAAAAATTATGAATGTAAATGTATTATAAAATAAATCCAACACAAAACAACAATAATAACCTATATTATTATTCTAAGTATGAGCCTGTTATTTTAAAATTTTAAATGTTGTTTTATCATTAAGCGTTGCGGATAGAATTTAATATGTTATCCAAGGGAATGAATGCCAAAAAAATTTACGCGCTGCATGGCGCATGAGATGGAAATGTAAAAAAATTAATTATTATTTTTTAAATACGTGTAAAAATGAACATTTTGCATATTTTATCAAATTGTAAGAATATAATTTTTGTATACTATCAACTTGTTTGTAATTTAAACTCGTAAACAAAAGATTTGATTTTGTTGTTACTGATTTTTGTAAATGTTTAATAAATACTCAGAAATTTGTTCGAAAATCGTTTTTATTTATTAACAGAGAAAATATTAGCAATGAATGGTAACAATTGTATATTTCTGTTGAATTGTAGTTGAGTAGATGCGTTTATAATTGAATTTCAGGCTTTGTACAGCTGCATCGTTGTTATTTGTGCAATTCAAGCATTAGAGGCGTTGAACGAAAACGTGCTCGGCGACCAAGTGATTTGCTTTGAAGTTTATGCTTACATTCTCATCAATTGTGGTCGAAAACTTGCAAACAATGTTGCATTCAAAGCATGTGGACCAACACATATCATTTTCAATAAATATTCCTTTATTCAAGCAGTTAAAACACAAAAACACAAAATTCATTTTAACGTTCTTAATTCAAGTAAAATGCAATATCAATAAAACCAAGGACTAAATATTGAAATTTAATAACATTAGTTTTGTAACTCACGCTAATCCATCTAAATTGAAGTGTAGAATCACGGTAGTAATCAAATAACAATACCCTACATACAGTTTGTTTCCATACCGAAGAAATCAATAGATACACTTTATGTAAAAGAGATATATTTGCAGATACATGTAGTCAGGCGGTAAGTAGTGGGTGTTGTAAGTGTGTGCTTATCATCGGAACGATGCCAGCAGTTGAAATGATATACGCCGCTGAAGAGCGCGGCTCGAGTTCGGAATGAACATGTTGAACTCGCTGAACAGGTAGAAAATGATTCAAGTACTATGCCTGGAGGAACATGAACGAGTCTGCATCGATGATGGATGGACTCGTTATGCGTTGCGGTAGTGACTATACACGGCAGGTACTTGGAATAATATCAATGCAAGCAAAAAGTGTAGAAATGCATTTTTTTCCGCGCTCAACTTTCCGAAACTGAATTAAATATTAACTACATATATATTTATCTGTATAATGTATGATGAGAATTATATTCCACGAGGGCTTAAAATGTCTGTTGTAGTATTAGTCGAGTGGCCCTGCCAACATGTGATAATGGTTTAGACACGAGCAAAAAGTCTCGTCGCGTTTGCAAATCAGTTGTCGCGTCGGCGTATTATCAGCACGTTCACATGTGTGGGGGTGTTTGGTTGAAAGTTGCGACAAGGTCACCAGGCGACCAGATATCGTTCATATTTAATGCTCACTGCGCAACCAAGCAAACCGATGAAATTTTATTTTAAAACTACTCCACATACGAATTTTGTGCGACGTCGCTGATACAAAATGGTAATATTTATATTTTAGTGCCGTATTTTTATTAGCGTTATAATTTTTGGAAAGTTTGCTTTTTACGGTCTTCTTATCATCAGCGCAAACACGTCAAGCGTACTTTCGGCTGCCGCCTCAAGATCGAAGGCTAATGTTCCGCCGTAAAAGACGAGTGAATTTCGGATGCGCAAAATCTAAGCGCAGCGATGAAAAAATATAATTTTTCAGCGGGCGTATCGTAAAAGCAAACCGGCAATAAAGTTAATTTAATTCCAGTTTGTGCAATATATACGATATATTCGTCACTCTTGTGCACGCTGTGCCCCGGGGCTAATGTATAGATATAATAAAAGTTTATCGATTGGCAAGCATCGGAAGGTTTACGAACGTGAACGCCAGTGGAAAAGAAGAGAGGTCATATTGGATTGCACCCCGACCTAGTCAACAATGTTGCAAATATTAATGACGCAAAAAAACATAACATTACAAAATAGATATTTTTGACAATTAAATAATAATTAACTTTATGTTTTCGCAATTTCAATTGAAAATGTGAACATTTTGAAGGTTTCGTGTGACATGAACAGTTTAATTTTATCAGGGCGTTAATCATGGTATTAATACAAGTTGTAAATGGAAAAAGACCCGCCGATATGTTTCATGTTCACCGCGCCACCGGAATACCAATTAGCGCACACAAAAGACTCCCGGTGCGTTTGCGCCACTGGCTTTCATTTTAATATATAATATAGCATTTGGCTCGCAATTTGGCCGAGGCCAGGGCAAATTCATTAATGTTTTATTTGTATCCTTTATTGCTGACGGTGAACAATACGTTGGAAATGTATTTTGGAATTATGCGAAACAGCGACTAACGAGATGAGTACGTTTTGAAGAGACACACGTAGATGCACAGAGGCGAGAGAAACATGTTTTCTCGACTGGAACACGCCTCATTTTATTTGAATATTATTTGAAAATAATTGCAATGGAATAAATAGAAATTATTCTTTGTCATCATCACGTGCATGATAATATTATTTAGATTAAATACAAATTTCAAACATATCTGAAGTAAAAAACGTTTTTGGCGCCGACGCAAGCTCCTCCCCCGTGACTAAAGCCCGTGACTAAAGTGCTTTAATCACAACTTTGACCATTCGTGTTAAAATACACTTTCTGTGTCTTAAAATCGTTGAAAACTGACGTTTTAAAGGTAAAAGTAGAAAAATATTTTTCGGTACGTGTACGTATTACGTAAAGCTATTTATATGTAAAAAAATGGAATGATTTATGCTCTACAATAAGCAAGAACAACTGTTGGGGTGCGTGGGCATTGTCGCTGTCATTACACCCCCAGTACATTACGAAATTTATGACCATCCAAACATATTGCTATCCGACATTCATCATACCAAGTGTTACAATTTTGAATAATTTATTATTTTAATAAAATATTACATTTCTTACGAAATTTACTAAATAAATACCAACTTTTATCACTTATTCACCTATATTGAAAGTATATACTATAATAATATTATAATCATTGCTATAGATTATATAACTCTAATGTTGTGACAAACTATAAAGGATAACCTAACTTTAGACAAAACCCTCTTAGACTAGGATAGCAAAACTTTTGCAGAGTGTTTTATTCAGTGACTAGCCTCAACCAAGCGGTTGAAGGGTCGTCGGTAAAGTCTAGTGGGAAATTTGCTGTAAAAACATCAACATACTATCACCATACAACCGCAAAAACATAAAATAACACAAGGCATACAAAAACAAGAATGTGTCAAGTCATTCCTGCTAATACCATTTATTTTAGTGCCAATTTTCGTGTCATTCTTTATAATAAATTAATTATTTGAGTGCTGCATGATTTTATTAAGATTTATGCATTTTCATTAACACGTTGATAAAAATGTATGATGTCTAGACATTACTGAAATTGTAATTCAGTTATTTGTAAAGAGGTGACATTCGGTCTGAGGTTAGCGAATGCTAACAATGCAAAACAACGACTTATGAATATTCATTTAATTAAGTGAAGGAATGAAGGAACGGTCATTACGACAGCGACGAAGGTGGTAGAAAGGCGGTCGGCGTCGCGTTTTGAGTGCGGTACGCAAAATGCGCCCAGATTACCGCCGATAACGTCCATCAAAAGAACACCCTGCGGGCGTTTTAAGCGCTTGTTATCCGGTTAGTGCGATAGCCGGCGCACTTCATAGTTGGCAGTTATCGCTATTTAAATGGCGGACAACTGGAAGAGTGGACGAGTGTGTTATACAAGTGCAGTAATTTAATACTTACGCTTAGATTGCCTGGAATAACGTAGAGCGTGACATTAATTTTTTACACACAGGTATTAATCATTTAATCAGCAATCTAATTAAATTTGCTTTTGAAGAATTAAACTCTTATTTAGTGTTTTAGTAGTGTTTGAAATTTAACCTAGAGTAACATGTTGAAATCCGCTCCATTTCCACATGTTTGCCGGCAAGATCTCTTTGATATGCATCATCTGCCCGATTTATTTCAATGATTACACCCGCCGGCAGCGGCCGCAGGCTTGTATCCACATGATATCAATCGGAAAATGCCTCGTATGACGCGATACAGCGTGCGGCGGCGACACCGAAATCCGCGCTAAACACGCACGCAAATCTCGACGCTTTCATCGGTGCTGCGCGGCGCTGCGCCGCATAAGCTGATTATTTCCAGCGTCTTAACGTAATTTAGAATCTAAAGAGTAAACGCGCTGTGTTTATCCTTCCGCTTATGCTCTTTGCCTATGCACATGTAGCTGCGCCCTGCGTGGATCGCTAATGTTTGTACATGTGTTATTCCACATGAGCGTTTTTGCTAAAAGTGGAACTGCGAGTTACATCACGGAAGCGTAATTTAATTATATCCGCAGGGATGGATAGGTGTATGTAGGTGGATAATCCAATCAAGGGGAAGATTGTGAGTTTAAACATAAAACAAACATTTTTGTGATCAAAACCTTTCAAAAATTGGTTAGATTCATTAAA